TCTTAGGCGAAAGTTAACAGCAGCGCAGTTTAAAATATTGCCTCCTCCTCTGAAGCTGTAAAAACAGTCTTTTCAGGATATCCAACTCTAGGAGCAGTTGCCGTTTCGTTGCCTTCATAAGCATTTTTTTAATGTACCTGCAGAGAGATGTATGGTTCAGATTATAACTCGAAACCGCGTCACGGAGACTTTTCTGGCGCAAAATTACTTCTTCTGCTGCGAGATCATATATTTCCCGACTTGCCATACCCCTGTCAGTCTTTCTTTTATAATAAGTTGGCATTCTAAAACAAAATAAATAAATTAAGTTATCATAGACATTAATTAGGAGCGTTACTACCCGTCACGCTGTGTGCAACATTCGTGAAGTGTATGCTGTGGCATTTGTCTGCTTTGCAGCCATTTTCCAATATCTCATGTTATCTATGTAGAGGAGACCGAGGAGAGTTGAAACAGTCTGTTTCAAATCTCCTCAGTAGAAATGAAACCTCTCATTTTTATTTAATCTACAATGAAGAAGCAAATACATAGAAATCAACTGTACCAAACATATACAATGAATCTTTAGTTAAAGAGCTTTCGAAACACATATAACTTAAACCAAAATACAAAACCTATATAAAAATATAAACATCATAACAAAGCCTAAAAAACTTACTTTTCACGATTTTTGACATACGGCTGACAGAACTCCACAACCGCGCGAGGCACACCTCCGACGTGAACTCCCACCACGACGGGCGGAGAAAAATAGTTATAAGGCGAAGTTGCTTACGCGCTAACGGTTTTAAGTTCCGAGAAATTGGTACTGTTTCAACTCACCTTTGTTTCAAATCTCCTCGGTCTCCCCTACACTTGCGTAATCCCTATATAGGAGCCATTTAATCAAAAGTGGGAAGATAATATTGTATGTTTGAATTGGTGACCGTTTTCTATTATATTTAGGAAGGTATATTTGGTAAGTGGTGAATTTGATTGTGGAATATCTGATCTGAATATGGTCTTAAAACCTATACATTTTTGATAAAAAATCTTTAATGTTCTCGTTGCCGAAAATCACTTGAAATTAAAATGAGCAAGAAAAGACATAAATTAATTAACTTCCTCGGTAACTTTAGAAGTTTAGAATGACAAGTATATTGCTAATTTATTTTATGAAAAATACAGTAAATATTATAAAAAAGGTTAAATATACGTATCAAAAGAATTCGTAACAGTCCTCTTAATAATTATAAGAATGCATTTGCTCACCTAAAATCATTTAATCCGCAATCGGCTTAAGTGGGAACTAATTTTCGCTACCACTTAAACAAACAAAATACATATACAAATACATAATAAACCCAGTCACACTTTCGGTGGCTGTCACCATGGAAATTTTAGGTAAAAGAATATAGCCTACGTTAAAACACCGCAATCTAATATTGTTTGAATACTTTCAATTAGTGCTAAACCTAACGTTGCGTGATCCCACCCACCTGGCTTATCTCTAGGAACTGTGACTGGCACATGTGTGTCCTGGCTGGAGGAAAAGATTCAAGTGTTCCCAAGTCTCTCCCCCAACCCGCAGAGTGATTCCCGTAAGGAAATAGAAATAGAATTGTATGGCGCGGAAGGAGGTCCTTTGTGCTAATTCTCCGCATCGCCTAACATACAGGAACATCGGAAGGTTTTAGTGAGTATACCTCAGCAATTTGACTATCCATCCATCTGGGTGTGGGCCCGTAGAAAAATCCCACACAACGTCGCCTACCCGCGCTGGGGAGGCCGGTGTGCAGTAATGCTAATTCTCTTCGTTAAAATTGTTGTAAAATCTAATCACTACATGAGTGACAGAGTTTCGCCGTGGTTTTCTACGACACGGTAACGTGGGACCTTGTAATGATAGGATATCTATTTTATTAAACATACAACATTGACTGCCTACACACGACTGAAAAAATAGTAATATTTCACGACGAATAAATAACTATGTGAAATGTTGCCCTCAGGTTACTCCACTTCTACAGGTTTAGTTTAGATTGTTTCATTTTAGTTCTAGTTGTTTTTTAAGCATTGTCTTAATGGGTATCAAACGAAACGGTACACTGAGAAGATAAATTACGATAATAAAAATTTTCGAATTTTAAAAACAAGCTTTGATTTTTTTATGCAAATAGTATAAAATTGACTTTGGAAGTAAATCAAACCTATCACCTTGCTACAGTAACATTAGAGATGTTACTGTGATCCGGATATTCGGCTGAATTATTCGGTTAACCATTTCATTATTTTTAACCATTTCATTAGTCAGTGTTTCTATTTCAGAAGCAGGAAACCTATATGAAGAAAAACCTAACTGACTCTTGCCGAAGGGAACCGAGAGGTGTGTTTCTGCACCATAATTTAGCATTATAAATATTTTTTTTAACTTATATGTTAGCTTATTTCTGATTTCTATTAAATTTTTATAGTGACCATAGTTTACTAAATAAGTATTTATAATATTTGATCAATTTTGCATTTACAATGCTATACTGTAAAATTTCTTAATGAAAAATACTTAAAAAGTCCACCAGCCCCATGTACTCTGAGATTGGACTCGAACCCATAATCTTTCACAATCTGAACGACTGCTCTAACCACTGAGCTACCTAGGACCCAACAGGACTGACGAATTTTTCAAGTACTTATTACTTTTCGCTACTAATGAGCGTATTTTCACCAATGTTCAGGCAATCCACTGAAACAGATAAAAGAAATATTCATACAACTATTTTAAATTTAAAAAACCGAATAATTCGGCCATATACGGATAGTGAAAAAAATGCCAGATACTCTAAATACCGAATATCAAACAAATATTCGGCGCATCTCTAAGTAAAATATAGAGGAGATGTAAAGCTTTCTTCTATCATTTTTTTATAATAAAAACCTGTTCTTTATAACAAATCCTAAAAAATATAGAGCAATATGTAATACCTACCTATACCTATTCTCAATGAAACATTACAGACAATATTACAGAGTTTCGGACGAAAGAATAACAAAAATGAAAAGGTACAACATTAGACCAGAAGGATGTTGAAGGCGAGAGGCCAAGAAAAATTGGCTTTTATGAATTTTCAAATTGTTTTATAACTTACTATTTTAAAAACTTAAGGACACCGATAGTTATGTAACATATCTGGCTATAATACTGAGATTATTATACATAGAACATGATATAATTTTAGAACGACAGTTAAAGTTATAACTTGGGCGCTGATTTTACATACTGCAACAACTTCGCAACATCTAATACGTAATATTTTGATTAGTAGCATGCACATGCAACATTATTGCAGTTTGCAACATACCGTTGAGCTAACATTAAAACTAGATCGAAAAAACAATTGCTTAATGAATGACGTCAACGTCATAAAAACCTGATGCATAATTGCCTTCTCTATTACCATTATGATAAGAGCTAATATGTTATGTTTATTTAAAATCGACTGTCAACTTACCTGAACACCATCCATGCCACCTTCACAAAGGGTCCACCTTCCATACGCTGTCATTATGTTCACTTTATATCACAATAGACATCGCACAATAAGAATCCCACTTATATTAGTATACAAAAACGCTAACAGACATAACGCCTGCGCGAACGCAATTTCTGTACTGGTACGCGACACGAAGTAGAGTCAAACTATTTAGTGCTTGATTAGCACAAACGTGCGCAAATCATACAACGCACAATATTTAAAGCAAGCGTGCGGTGTAATAACGGCCAGATTGAAATTGATTACTATACAGGCCGCACTCATTGACGTGATTGGGTAGAGTGGCAAAATGGACCTTGTGGACTGTTTGCAATAGTTAACCTAATATAACTCGGGTTATATAGGTACCTCGTCTTGAAATTGCAAAGACAGTGACGTGTGAACGAATATTTTACTATTCAGGAGTAACGCAAAATCGGGACAATTCCACATACTTGGATTCGTACTTACACAGTATAGAGTACCTACACAATTCACTATCATCTACAACCCTTTTACGACCCCACAGCAAGGGCTCAGGCCTTCCTTATGGATGGTTAAGGTGGATGTGCCATGACCCTCCACGCTGGCCCAATGCGGATTGGAGGGTATAAACGACTGCAAATGCAGCCGGGACAAATGGCTTAACATGCCTTCTGAAGCACGGAGTAGCTCGAGATAATAATTTTTTGGTCACCCATCCCGTGACCGACCCTTGCGAAAGTTGCTTAACGACAACGATCGCGGGCCGCGGCGCTTATCCACTACGCCACGAGCTACTCATTCACTAATTCAAATATAAATACGAGAAATAAGTGAAACCACCGCATTGCTTATTCGCGCTCAAACGAAGTACTAACCCCTCGGTCACCGGCTTGGTTGTATCTTAATCGCATTGTATTATTGTATGAGTTTTAACGTGTTTAAATTGAAAATAACGAGGAAGTATTTAAAAACAAAGAAAGCACTAAAAAAGTACAGCAATAGTTGATTTTTGCAGGAAACGAATGTACCAAAGATAGTCATTTCCGTTCCTTTTAACTAACATATTAAAAAACTGAAGTTTGCAGTTCAAAACTTAGATATTATTAATACAATTATTAGGTTACTTTAGATATTATTAATACAATTTATACAAGAATTAATACAAATACGAAAAAGTTCATATAGAATATGAGTTGTTTATTGAGTTTTGAAAAACAAATTACTTTTATACATGAAAGAAAACTATGCCTATGCCCAGCAGTGGGCGTCTCTCGGTTGATATGATGATGATGATGAAAGAAAACCGGAAAGGTTGTCATGGCAAAATCAAAAAAGTACTGTAGCGACATCTAGTTTGATTCCGGGAACTAATGCTATTTTTTAATCCTTCCTCATTAACAATCAAAATATTGCATAACCAAAATACAAGTTAGCTTCGATGACCAAATTTTCCATTGACAATATTTTAGCAAACTTTAAACTTAATTGTAAATAAACAAAACAGTTACACATTCAGTATTTATTTCTGAAATGTTAGACAATAGTATGGCAATATTACAGGTTTCCTTAATTCTATCGGTTACTACGTCGACTCATTCTTAGATCTCGTTCGATTTCATATTGACGAAGATCAGCTCGCTCCAAGAAATCTTTACGGTCCAAATACCTGAAAGTAACCGAAAAATTACGATATTACATAAAAGCTTCTAAAAAATGACTTATTAAATAAAAATCTACATCAAAATATCTCTACTTGTACATCAAAATATCTCTCCTTGAATTCTTTAAATGAATAATTAACAAAGTCCACAATCAATACATATTACTTTATCTTCAAAACTACAGAACTGATTTTGATGGAACTTCTGCTGTTACCTAAGTTGAAAAGTAACTCATCAAACAAAAAAATAAATCACTGCGATCCGATGTCTAAGCGACAAATACGTGAACTAACATAAACACATATTTAGGAGCTCACATAGACTAAAGTCATTATATTAAAACTAGCTGTTTTCCCGCTACTTTGCTCGTTTATAATCTACCCTATGGCATCCGCGTATGATGTGGCTTACCGCAGGTGAAAGAATTTTTAAAATCGACCTTGTAGTTTCAGAGCCCATTCGTTGCAAGCAAACAAACAAACAGTCAAATCTTTTCACTTTATAATATTAGTACATATAGATAAAGATTGCACCATTATGTTCCAACAAAATTACATACAGGTCAAATCGATGTGTAAGTATGAACATTATTAAGCTACCCTCTCCCAATAGCATTCATGTATTTAAAAGATGCAATTTACCACTGAAATTAGAAAAATTCCACATATGTTACTTATCTAAATGGGATTTAAACTCCATTTCGCAAAATTCGAAGTAATTGACTCTAGAGACTACAACAATTCACACTATAAATGTTTTATTACGTTTTATGAATTTAAAAAACATCAGTCTTCAAAAATCAATAATTTAAAACTTACCCTGCTTTTCCCTTGTTATGACTCTGAATTTCCTCTTCAATACCCTCTTCTTTCTTGTAAGTAACCCAATCAAGTTTAGACTTTTCTAACGTAGATAATTTGCTTTTCTTATTCAACTGCCCTAGTATTCCTGCTACGCCTCCAGTACCGCGACTTCGAGAAGGGCCTTCCTTACTAACTAAAATCATAAATAAAAATTGATGCTATTAAAGGAATTCCCATTTTCGAATCGATAATAGCATACTTATTGTAGATATCTATTTACAGTAATATTTTATAAATGAAAGTTTGATTATTCATTGTCTCTTTACATAAAAAAAATCGTAAACATTAGATAGCATAGGTTTTAATTATGACACACGTTATACCACATGAAAATAATTTCAAAAATTAAATATGTATAACTATAACGAAATCCAAGCAAATATTGTTTCCGAAGTTTAGTTCATATTAATAAACACGATAGGCCAACAACAAAATCCAAAAATGTTTTACCTATTGCAGATTTTTCGGTGCTTTTAACTTTTTCTTTAATAACATCATTTTCTACAACAAGTGTTTCGCCAGCAAATTCAAATATTCTCCTTTCCCTATCCTTGCTTTCATCAATATCTTTTTTGTTATTATCACTTTTTTCTTTATCAACATCTGGAGTGATTTTAATTTGATCACTTGGTTTATTTTCAGCTTTTAGAGATGGTTTAGTCTTAGTATCTGTGCCATCTAAAAACATCGCCCACAAATCGTCTTCCCTCTTCTTCTCCTTTTCAGGGTCTACTGATTCTTCAGGCTTATTTACTGGTACTGTTTCAGGTTCTGGATCTGTATCCTTAAGACTCTTCCTAGTTCTCTTTTTCTTTCTGCCTTTAACAGCAACGTCAGCTTTTCGTTTTGTAGCTTTATACTCTAATTCTTTTTTAAATTGTTGATCAGTTTCTTCATCAGCAGAATCTTCTTCAGACACTTGTTCTGGTTCACCAGGTACATATTCTTCATCGCTCTCACTTCCGGAAGACATCTATAAAAGGTAACATGTACTGTATTATATAAAGTCCTAACACAGAATAAAATTATGGTGATATACATATATTTTTTTACGTGGATAATCGACTTTAGAAGGTCTTAGAATTGTATGGAAGTCACAAATCATTTGTCATCATCATGATCATGTCCTTTAACGTCCCCACGACAGGGGCTTTTATGGATGCTCTTATGCAGCCTTCCTTATGGATGGTTAAGGGGAAAATAATTTGTAAGCAGGTATTATTAATTAATTTGTATCAAAAAATATTTGGAGATATTTTATAAAGCATTTTTATCTGAAGCTAACTGTTGTCCTAGGCGCTCTCAGCCTTTAAACATAAAAATGATTGAACGTACAAACACTTATAGAAAAAATGCAATTCTATTATTCGTTTCTTTCTATAATATTTCTATGAAAAAAATAATATAAATCGTCCGATCAATATATCGCCTGCCTTTTTACGTCCCCACCGCAGGGGCTCAGGCCTTCCTTATGGATGGTTAAGGAGGATGGGCCATGACCCTCCACGCTGGTCCAATGCGGATTAGAGGGTATTAACGACTGCAAATACAGCCGGGACCAACGGCTTAACGTGCCTTCTGAAGCACGGAGTATCTCGAGATAATAATTTTTTGGTCACCCATCCCGTGACCGACCCTTGCAAAGTTGCTTAACCACTACGATCGCGGGCCGCGGCGCTTATCCACTACGCCACCGAGCTACGTCCGATCAATAAAAAAAAAAAGAAAAAGTCGCGGGACGCAGAGGTAGGGTAGGTTTTTTTGTAGCTACATCGCCGCAGTATAATCGCGCTACAATATAACCTATTATTATATATTATTATTTATTATATTATTATTTTTATATTTAAATACCAATATCTAAAGCGAAAACGTTGTATCTCTTAATCAAAATTACGCGCATGAAAGAGTATTTGGCACAAATCAAGTCAAAATCATTTATTCAGTGTCTAGGCTGTTACAAAGCACTTGTGAAAGTCGAAGCTCTGTGGCATCGGTTGCTTGCACAGTTGCACAATTAAAGTGATCACACATCACACACTGAAGGAAAGGAATTATAGCATTTATGCAATCATTTAAACTATCATCGCACACATGTACACTATAGTTGCCATCATTTAAATATTATAAAAAAGCCTCACTCTGCAATAAATTATTAGGTGTCACATGTTGGCCCATCGTGTTACACTGTGTGGCAGGTTTAAAGAAAGATTGATTACCTACTCTTGATTAAAACAAAATAGTATAGACGGAGAGCTCGTGACAAAAATGTGCAAAAACTTTCCAAAGCTTGATTTTTCAGTATGTTGAAGTACAAAGAGAGTATGTCACTCTGTACCCAGTGCGGTCAGGCTATGGTGGTGGCGTACATCAAACTTCTAGCTATTGCTGAATATGTTTGTTCCATGAATATAAACAATTTGTAAGAAATAATAAAATCAAATAAATAATTTTATGCCTGGAACTATCCTTCAATTAAATTCTCATAACAAACATTTCAGAAGACTAAAATAGTTTATTGAAAGATATAAATAAATTATGCCATAACACCTACATCAGACAGTCTGCAGTAGGTTCAGGTGTATTTATTACTATAATTATATGAATAAAACTACAGAAAATCTAATTAATTCATTTAATGTTTTATAATTTTTTCTTGTTTCTATTTCTATTTTTAACATTGGAGACTTCATAGAAATTACTTCCTGTCTTAGTTCTTCGTTGAGCTCTGTCTATGGCCCTTCTTTGTTTAGCAGTCAACTTTTTGACTGGTTTACCATTTGTAGGATTTCCTTTATGTTTTTTATGCTTTTGCGAAATTTCATCTACTGTGAATGCACCACTTGCAGCTTCAAGGCGTTTTCTTTTTAATTCCAAAACTGTTTCTACATTGTTGGTTAGATAATCATCAACATCACTACAAATGTCTTCATCATGACTGTAAAAATCACTAATGTCAGAAGAATCACCATCATTGATATTTTTATTTTCACCTTCCTGTGATTCTTCATCTTCACTTTGATCATCTATTTCTTTTAATTCTTCAGGTATGTCAATTTTATTAAGAGGTTTAACATCATCTTCATTATCAAACTGTAGACCAACTCTTATTTTGGCAAAATCTTGAGCTATTGTTAGTTTGTTAACAATGAGCGTTTGCTTGTCTAAGGACTCATTTCCTTTCTGAGACACATCTGGTGTTGCTTCTTTTTCTTGTTCATCAGATATTATTGGAGCTTCTTTGTTCTGGATAATTTCTGTTCCTTCTTCTATGTGTTTTGAAAGTGGTATCTCAAAGCCTTCAGGGGCTACATAGAAAGGAAGCTTTCCTCTTTGCCAATCATTGAGAACCATTCTAGCAACTTGATTTACATCAGGTTCACCTTTCTTTAACAATTTACCTGTTCTGGCTGCAAGTTTTTCCAAAAATTCCGTTGCAGTTTCCCAACCATCAATTTTATATGTCTTAATCAAATACTCCTTTCTAACTCTTTTGATAACTTCTTCTATATAGTCATCAGGATTTTGAACTAATTCAACTCTAACCACTCCTTTTAAAACTTTTTCTGTGTCTGTCTCAGCAGAGGGATACACAATCCCAGGGCAATCAATCAAGAATATTCTTTTCATTAATGTTATATACTGCCATACTTTAGTTTCTCCTGCAATAGGTGCAACCTTGCATACTTTTTTAGATCTCAGCGTATTAATCACTGAAGATTTTCCAACATTAGGATAGCCAATTAATCCAACGCTTATTTGTTTTTTGTCAATATGTAATTTTGCAAATTGACGCAGTAAGTTTATAAGTGATCCTTTTCCAAAAGGATGTGTTAAAGAAGCATGGAAGGCTATTGTTGGATATTCTGAACTTAATATAGCAACCCACCTTTGTGTGACCCAGTTAGGAACCAAGTCAACTTTGTTCAATATAAAAATTAGATGTTTATGGGGCTTTTCCTCTTTTAAAAATTTCTCTACATAAGGGCTTCTTGTGCCCATGGGATCACGAGCATCAAGAACTTGAAGCAACACATCAGATGAATCAATAACTTTATACAATTCATTCCATATCCTTCTACTCATACCAGCACCAAAAACCCAGTCTCTTTGGCCTTCTTTCAGACCTGTATCTTCGCGTACTCTATCTACATCTTTGTTTTCGTCATACTTTTCTATATTTTCTTCAACAGCTTTAGATAATGTTTGTAAGTCACCAAATTTTAAGTTTACCCTTTTTCTTTGCTTTTTCGGTCCAAAAGTTTTGTCAAAGCCTTCAGTATCTAGTAAATGTACTCTAGCATTTTTAGCTGTTTCATTTAATAAAGTAATAGGCAAATTTGTAGGCCTCATGACCACTTGATATGGATTTTTCACAACAGCACCAAACTCTTCTTGAAACTTTTGTAAAGCGTTTTGTGAAATTACCCGCGAATTTCCGAACCATTTTTGATTAGGTTCCACCCGAGCTTGGGTACCAGAGGGTAACCAACCTTGAAACGGGGCTGGAGTCAAAATTTTACCAGTTTTATCTCTTTTGGCTTTAAAATTGCGGTACATTTGCAACCTTTTTATAGTTGCCTTAGTTCTAGGATTGCCAACTCCTTTCAATCCCTCAGTAGGTCTATCAGGATTCATAGAATGGCCAGACTTATTGAATCCCTGTTTCCGGGGAGCACCCGGAGCAGATCGTACTTTCCCCATTTTAAGACAAACTTTAGTCAAATAATATAAAACGATCACTGATTCACGCGTTTCTCACGAAAATTACGACTTTTACAGGTTATTTTAATCAATCCCACACCTCTTTTTGACAATCCAAATAACAGTGAAGTGACAGTCGATCAATGACAAACCACTAACTTCACACTTTTATCCTCCTTTGTCAAGTCTATCAACTATTAAAATTACCAATATAACTCTAGATTAAGTACCGTTTTCCTACATATGATCTTACAAAATTTATGTCTTACCTCGTATAGACCGTGGTTTAATATATTTGCTGTAAGGGGTAAAAAAAAAACAATAACCAAAACGACTCGATCAAAATATCGCAATCGATAGGCAACTTCACACTACATCTAAAAATTTTCTCTATGGTATCTAGTAGGCATGTATATCTGAAATCGATAAACCGAATATCAATTATAGTAAAATACGAACCCCTCGAATCTGACCGATTCAATGAGGATCTATTTAACTAAATAAAAATTAGTTCTTGAAATTACACTAGATGTCGCTCGCGATGTTTGGATTTTGTTTATGATATTCATTAAAATTTTGTTTCTGACGTAATAAAAGTAAATTGAGTATCAAATATTAATAAATATGATATCCTATTGTGTTTCTTATAAAATCCAACTTTCAAATTAATTTTAATTTAATTTAATCGTAAGTTTCAGTTGTTGATTATGTTACGTGTAAAGGAACGACGATGTTTGGTTTATACGTCAACATTAGTTGTTCAGCCAACTAATTGTTTGCTCGAAACTTTCATCCGAATTCAGGTTTGGAATTAAGCGCAAAAGCGGAGCGCAGTATTCAGCTTGTATTTCTATGTATCATTCATTATGCATCCACAAAACGAATGATTTAATATAAATATAGAAATCAATTCAGTCTAGGCATATTACTTGTGAAAGTCAAAAACTTTGCCAATGGTTCTCAAAACTAAGGCGGGAGATCTCGTACTGACAAGAATCGGCAAGAAACTCAGCAAGGGCTGTATTTTTAATTTCAACTACACAACGCAACTATATTATATTTGAGGGTCCGTAATACCCAAAATTTTCGAAAAGATAATGTTTGATTTTCTATACACGGTCGTAAAACCTGTGGTTGAACAACACGGCTTTATGAAAGGGCGTTCCACTGAGACAAATTTGTGTGAATTTTTAGACCACATATTATGTGCAATGAATGACGGTTATCAGGTGGATGCCATTTATACCGACTACTCTAAATGTTTTGACAAAATATCGCATCAAATATTAGTTAGAAAGATGGAGTACCTCGGCATACATGGTGACCTCCTAAGGTGGCTGCGGTCGTATTTAATGAACAGAACCCAGGTTGTGACTATAAAGGGCTACGAATCTAGTTTCATACCAATTTCGTCCGGTGTTCCACAGGGCTCTCACCTCGGTCCGTTGCTATTCAAAATCTTAATAATTCATCAGCAAATAATAAAAATTCAAAATTTTTATTATTTGCTGACTGTACGGGTAGATGCGCGCGCGCCGACGGCCAACTCAGACGTCATTGTCACTTCCTTGTCAGAATAAAATATTTTGTACAAATTGTGCGTGCCAATATACCAAAGGCGAAATAGTGACTCATTAATGTTATAATCAATTCCATTATCTAAATAAACGAATTGAGAAAATATACACTGATGACACAAAGATATTTTCTATTATTAAATCTGTTGAAGACTGTATAAGAAAAAGAGGACCTGGGTCGTTTATGTAGCTTCAAGAGGACCTGGATCGTTTATGTAATTACTGTGCCTCAAATAAGATGTCTATAAATATTAATAAATGTTGTTATATCAGTTTCACTAGAAAATAAAACACAAACAAATTCCAAATATCAACTTTTTGGTAGTTTTCTTACAAAAAAATCTGAGGTGAGGGATTTGTTTGTTACGCTGGCAATGAATTGATTTTCTCATCTCATATCAATAAAATTTCGCCAGAGTGAAGAATTTACGAATGTAGAAATGGTATTAATTTTATATAATAGCTTTCTTAGATCTCAACTTGAATATGCGTCTTCTGTTTAGAATCCGCAGTATTTAAAATATATAAAAACTTTAGAAGATATCCAAAACAAATGTATTAGGAGGCTGAAGCACAGATTTCAGGGATTTTGCGAGGACAAAATTGAGTCACAACAAAAAATACCTTAAATTATTAACTGTTACGTTATTCATTGTTTGTTCGACATAGCATTGCATGTGTTTAGCAGTGGAAACTATCTAGGCAACTGTACTACTTATTTGAATTATGTATATTTTATGTGTCACTCAATGCTGTTGTTTCCCAAATGAATAAATAAATATATTATTAAGCCACTCCATAACTTTGCTAAGTACCGAGGTTATAGCGATAGGACGGTAATGGTTGGATGGTTGTGATGAATAAGAGGTGAAGAATAAGAGGCACGGTAGAGGCGCGTCAAAATAGGTGTCAACTCAACAGCACCAAATAAGATGTCAACGAAAAGTATGAACGATAAAAATAGTGGTAATAAAAAAAAAATTAATCAGAGATTAACCATATTGACTTCGTTTGGTATGCGTTTGTATATTAATTTAATAATGAGTGTGGTAATAAACCTGTTTTTATATTCTTATTTTGTAACAGAAAATTAGTTTTTTTTAACCATTAACAACAATACTTTTTAAATCATCGGAATCCATTCAGATTAGTATTTTTTATTTTGTATATATTTACTTCTATTGTTTGTCTACTATTACTAGTTCCATTTAAGCGATGTTGCCGATCTTATCTGTTTACTTGATACGAAATCGTATAAAAAAACCTACTATTAAATAAACAAACTTATTTATATGCAAATATATATTTAAGCTCGACTAGTGCCGATTCAATGTTAGTTCATTAGTAATTTAAATATTTCTTAATGAACCAACCAACTAATTAAGAATTAATATTTAAAGAAAAAAGATAATGTCTCATTTAATCGATACAATTCAATGTCTATCCAAAATAATATAAAGAAATCATTACTCTAGTATCAATTAATCGACTTGTTATTTTTCAATATCGATAGTAAATAACTTTATGTCAATCACTAGTGTGATATGTCAAATTAAAATGGCTTTTACACGTTTATTGCGCACTATAGATGTCTGTTATGGTTGAGCGTGATTGGTTATAGTTATATTGGAGCGTTTAAAATGCAAGTGTGTGCATATCTTTTGTATAATTGGTCTGATATTTCGTCTGATGTATGGCGGACTAAAAGTGGGGCAAGACTGGCGACATCGGTTTTCGTACAAAGGATGCATGATCGCCTTTCTAACCTCTTTTCCGTGTTCTGTGAATAACACAATGTTCAAATAATCTCTTGCTTCTAAAGATATTTTCAACTTAATTAAACTAAGCTAACTAGGCTTCAATAAACTAAACACTCACACGCACACACACACTAAGAACTAGTTAACTTAAAACTAAATAAACTTAAATTACAACAGAAAAATGGACGGAAAAGTCGCTTCGCAGCGTTACGGTAGCAGCGATGCAGTAACGTATCTCACGCTCAAACGTCTGGCGGCGACAAAAAAAATTGATCAAGGCTCTGACGCCGATGGGACAAAAAACGCCACCCGTCGAGATCTGTGATTGGCTAGCGTACGGCAAGTAGATGGGGACCGGCTGTTTTTTTCCTTTAACTGGTTTTTTCCATTAACTAATAACCACGGACGAATTCACTTAATCTTCTCGAATTCGTATTTTGTTATTATGCAATTGTTTTTGAATTTTCTTTTTTAATACATTTAAAATAAGTAACCAAACCCATACTTGGTGTTTTAACATAAAGTACATTTGTGATATCATAATGGTTCCTTATTATCACAAATGTACTTTATGTTAATGGATGATGTATCCATTAACATAAAGTACATTTCGATCGAGTTTAGCTACTTTAATAAATGATCCTGTTATTTGATCCATTAAGTTACATTTTTTTAGAAAACTGACTATTTGAAGTAATGTAGTAATGTAATGTAACTTAGTTAACGTTAGAATAATGTTTTTATTATGATTTATTAAATGTCTATTAATTAATTTGAGCATTTTGACTGATTCGTTTAGTGATATTCAATTAGAAATTATTAAAAAACCGTTAAATAGATCACAATAGTAGTTTATTTTGTTTTTAGAAATTAAGAAGCCAATGAATGATTAAAACTTTTTCCTTAGTACGTCCCAAAAACAGCTGACTAAGGGTTGAAAATACTCATTATTTTCCAAAATCTTTGTAATTTAATATCTCCGAAACTATTTGCAAAAATCGACTGTTGCTAGTTTCGCCACCTAGTAGAGGTGCTTTCGTATTTTTTTAAATACTTCCTCATCAAGGAGTTTATCGATATCTTCTACAATTAAGTTATAAATAATGAGATTTTTAAAATTTTCGTATTTTTGATATATAGACAATGACGACTTGGGTGCTCGTATAATACAAGATCACGTATAACTTTCGTTGTGTTATTACCTCAAAAAATATATTTTCGTTATTTATGTGTATCATCTTTGACAATGCCCAAATTTTTAGGTGTCAGATTTGGTCGACTCCTAAGTTAAGTGAAAATGGTCATTAAACAATTAAAGTTCCTGTACAACATATGATGCTCGCACAGTTTGATTTTCAGCTGATAGAGCTCGGTCCTGTTAGTTACATCTATAGTCTGTGACGTTTTGACAATCAATGACAGATAGACTACTATAGAGTTGAGCAGATGACCACAATGACGTTTCCAATAACATCTGTCTGATTGATTGATAATTTTGACACAATCTATGGGATACAGATTTCATTAAAAGGTTTCCCTTCAAAACGCTTAAGGGATTGTTTGATCGAAGAAAAGATTTCCAATTTGCATTTATTTAGTTAGTATGTACTCGTAATAATTTGTGCATTAAGTCGAGAAAAGAGCACTATTCACCAAAGTGACAATCGAGAAAATCATATGAACAATAAACGATTGATTTCTTTGAGTCAGTATTAAATATGTTGCGTATAAAGATATAGAAGAAAAAGATATTACAGTATCAAATATAAACATTGAAGTAGTTTGTGTTCAGTGAAAAATCAAGAGTCGAAACGACGCCGATACCTATGGGCTTCACAATACACAAGGCAACATGTATGACATGTTGTCAGAATTTAGAGTTTCAGAATTCGATTCGTTTGTCGATATACTAAGACTGACACCCGTTGACCCATTAAATACTTTTGGTGAAATGTGGTACCCAGTGTTTTTGTGGTCTTTGTGTTCATCAGTCTTTGTACATACTTGTGCTGCTCTTGTTGCTTTTGGTACACTGAGGAAGCATAAGTATGGGAAGTTCTTCCCCGTACTTTTGATTGTTATGGGTGTAGTGAGCCCAGTGACGTCTGGTGTAGCAAGTAGTGCAGCTGTTGCATTCATTTATCGAGCAGCAAATTTAACTATGCCTCCTATACATGCTATGATATGGGGCATAGGGCAAACTCTACTGGGTGCAGGTATAGGTTTTACTAGGATTTTAGCTACACTGTGATGACAAATTACTGTGAGAATGTCCGAGTATTTCTATCAACAGTTGAATTACTATTCAATGAATTAATAAAAGTCAATTATCTTAATTACTACCAATAATACAGTTTGGGAAAAGGTGTTGAAATGATATCTGCAAGTATAATAAATTTACTATTAACTAAAATCAATATCATATAGCTTGTTTATCAATTATAAGAAATTTAATACTCATCTATATTTAATGTGTACCTTTTCTAAATTATAATAATTAATGTTATATCGCACCCTCGGTGCGACACTGTCACTTTTGCAAAAAATTCAACAATTAGTTAAATATGTAATAATTGTCCTAAAGCCCCCTTTACTTGGTGCGATAATGTTACTTTTGTAGATATGTTCCGTATGATTCATCTCATCTGTATCTTCTAAAGTCATTGTTTTGTGAGGTGGCAGAGTTTAAAACTCTTCTCCTGAAAAACTAAATTTTTGCATAAGTGACAGTGTCGCACCGGGAGTGCGATATTGTGTTCTTAAACTATTGCCTTGAAGTAACCCACTTCTGAGATTTCTTGCTTTTTTGTATTATATGGTTATAATAAACTATCATCATGATTAAGAAATCATGATATGATATAATAATGTGATGTTGTGGCCTATAACTGAATAGTATAAATTTTTAGATTTTGTGTATATGTTACACTTAAAGATTGAAATCACAAGGCGTTGTGGTCACAGTAAAATATCCACATAGTGAAATTTGAATCAAGGCTCTTATGGAAACACTCATGATGCATTATGGTATTCACAGAATAACCACAGCAAAATCTGTGTTGTGGCTGTCATGCTATTTGATCACAATACATGTGCCAATGAAGAAAAACCATGAAGCATCTTGAACCATATTTGATTAGGTTAGAATATAACATTGTGATTTCATTCTTTGAGCATAACATATATGTGGATAATTAGAACCATTCAATTTGTTCAAATTACCTACCACTGCTCTTTTTAAATGACTATGAAAGGTGCCTGCATGATTATTCATCTTAGACTTAATTACCCACCGTAAAAGCGATATGTCCAGAAAAATAACAAACTGCACAAAAAATCAAATTGTTAAAAGACAATTTGACAAATTTTTGAGACTTTATAATTACATTCAACAAATGTCTGATTTGTAATATAATAAATAATGTCATTAATGTATATAAGGTTGTTGTATTGTATCATTGTATGTATATAATATAGTTAAAACTAGTTTTTATTGTACATAGAAAATTGTAATAAATTTGGTAAGTAAAGAAACAACATATTTATTGTAAACTAATAAATATCTTGGAAAGTTCATAAATCACATTGTATTCTTTCATAATATACCTTAGCAACATTTATTATTGTTAATACAATTTTTAAATAAATCAACCTCAAAATCCTCCTTAACCATCCATAAGGAAGGCCTGAGCCCCTGCAGTGGGGACGTAAAAGAGCTGACGATGATGAATTTTTAAATGTTATTCTTTTCTTCAAAAGGTGTGAATGAACGAATAAATAAATAATTTTTTATTGTATATAAACACAATAATAGGAAAACAATAACACAAAAAACAAATAGTATAATTGACAGCCTTATAGCTGAGAAGCAATTTCTTCCAAGCATCCGTTGCAGCCTGGACAATTTAAATTTAAACCTTAATTAGGTAGTCTATGGTGTCTTATGTGTACATGATATAAACATACATACATAATAGTCATACATATGTAATGTAAAAGTTCATAATGACATATAATCTACCTTGACTAGATTTTTGAAACTATCTATTGTTTCAAAAAACATTTCATCAATGAGGGTTTTTGACTGGTTTTGTACAAAGAAACAACATCCACATAAACTGTAATTAACTGTAACTGTCAACCTGGTACAACTAGGTTTAACAGCCAATCTGTTTGAATTCACAGCTAAAAAGTGAATCACTAAAATTCACCATTTTTTTATTGTAAGGAAAATTATGATTGTATATAATAAAGTATGATTATATTACCATATATATATATATAATGTATACTTACCAGTATGTAAATTAAATTAGTAATTGAGTCACATCAGCATCATCACAATTAGTTTGTTTTTCAAAACGTTGCATAATCGGTATTATGCTCAGTGGCGGACTGGCGTCCTGGGGGCCTTCGAATGGCTGCAAGTTCCCTTGATGAAATCATAAATTGGGGTTGTGCTGCCTTATCTTTCTTATGTCCAGTTATAATAGGTCCTGATGCCGCCCCGAGCCCCCGACAGGTTAGTCCGCAACTAATTATGCTACTGGTGCATTTGTCACGGCACGAGGTATTTCTTATACAGTGACAAGAATCTTATCATCTGATGTCACAAACCAATCCAATTTATTCAAAATCTAACTGTGGCGAATGTGCGTTATGCGAGATTTATAAGAGAGGAGCAACAGAAACGCATTCAATACTTACCCCTACATGAATGATTTAAGAAATAAATAATACCTGTAATATTAATGTTATTTATTTTAATGTTTCGATTATTATGTTCTATTTAAATTAAGCCTCAACATGAAGCACTAATACACTTAATTAAAAATTGAGATGAATTTGTCACAATTATGTTTTGCTGTTAATAACATATACAATTGCATTTATCAGTACACTTCAGTTTTATGGACTGTGGAAAGGCTGTTATGTGCTTGGTTAGATTCAAGTTATATGTAAAAGATATTTATATAGAGCCACTGTGAGAATATTTAGAAAACCTTTTGTGGACTTCATGATACCTACAACTCTCTTCATCCTCTTCATGGCTGACTTCATGTATTGTTTCCTCTAACATTAATGGTAGTTCCAATTCTTCCCTTGACACAGAAGCCTGCAAAATGATAAATGAATTAACATAGATAAGGTAACTATGATATTTAATAATGATGACATACAAAAGATTGAAACATTTTATTACTTCATGTCTTTCTGTATCCCTTCTATCACTCAACTTATTTAATTGGTCTTGTAAACTTTTATTTTCTGAGGTGGCATCTTGTAAAGCCAATTTCAGCTCTACAATTTCTTGTCTAGCATTGGATAATAATTTCTCAGTTGTGGTTAATTTTTCCTTCAATTCCACTTTTTCCATATCTAGTTTGTCTTTTGCAATAGATAGAGATTTTATCCTCTTTTCATATATCTTGAGTTCTGAATCAGTTTCGCTTATACATTTATTACTATGCTCTGATTGCAAATGATCGTACATTTGTTTTAAATATGTTACATTTTGCTGAAGAATTTCTTTCTCTTCCATAATAAGCTTTATTTCATTTTCTAAAGAAGTCATTTTGCATGTAAGTGCTGATATATGTGAAGATTGCTTCTCTATTATATTTTCTTTATCCATCAATTTGGATTCCAGACTTTGAATTTTATTTATATATGTTTGTAACTGCATAGATTTTGAAGCAGACTCACTTTCTAAAGAATGATTTGTGTTTTCTAAAATATTAGCTTCAACTGACAAACTTGCAAATTGTTCTAACATATCAGATCTCTCAGCTTCTTTCTGGGATAGTAACTCTTCTATTCGTCTAATTTCTGCAACATAATGCTGCAATTGTTGCTTGAGACCATCTACTTCCTTTCTAGATTTTTCATATTCAATGTTTGCCAGTTTTAAAGATCCATTGGCATCAGCTAAACTATTTTGTAAATGTTTATTTTCAATAACAACAGAATCAACTTGTTGTGTAAGCCTTAAAATTTCTCCATTTAAGAAATGTATTTGGGCTTCATTATCTACTAATTTATGTTCTGCCACTTTACTTAAATTTAGTTTTCTTTTTTGTTCAGATATTTCATTTTCTAATTTACTAATTTCATATGACTGGGACTTCAACTTTTGTTCAAGAACACTGACTGCCTCTGTCTTATGATCCAATTCTATAACTAATTTGTCACGCTCTTGATCAATTTTTCTTATATTGTCAATTAGATTTGATTTATCACTTCTTAGTGCCAAAATTTCAGATTGTAGATCATTACATTTCTTTTCTAATGAATCAATAGTATCTTTGGACAAAGCCAATTTTTTTTGAGCACTCAATAATTCATTTTGTATTTCATTACTACTTCTTTCTGTTTCTAACTGAATATTTTTTATTTGATTAGCTAATGTTTTCTCTTTAATAACATCTGACTGCATCCTTTTGATTTGTTCTCTTAAAAAATTACACTCCTCTTTTAAATGATCTACAGAAGCTTTCCCAGTTCTATGTGTCATTTTATATGAAGAATTTTCTTCTTGTATTTGCTCAATTTGTCTCTGCTTAAAAGCCAAATCACTTTTCAATTTGTCAATGGTATCCATTGCATCCCTATACCTTAATTTATATTCTTGTTTATCTTTTGCTAGCAATCTATTTTCATTGGTCAATTCATCAATTTCGATTTTTAGTTTTTGGATATCAGCTCTATTTGAATCTCTACTTTCATTAATTTTCACAGACTGTAAACTTCGGAGCTGACTTAATTGCTGACTTAATGAAATATTCTCTTTAGATAATTCTGTATTCTCAGCATTCAATTGGCTAATAATATCTTTATAGTTCTGTTTGTTACCTTCATTAGGCATGCATAATTTAATTTTTAACTCATCATTTTCTTTTCTTAACATTAGAATTTTCTGTTCACTTTCACACAGTTTATTTTGCATATCCCTAACAAGAGTACTGTCATATTGTGTAAAATTAGATTTTTGAACTTTTTTCTCTTTACATCTCCCTAAATGATTACCAAAGAGACTCAATGTTTCAGATAACTTCTCATGTATCTCAACCATATGTTTTTCATATTTTTTTCTATCATTGTCAAGAATATTCAATAACTCATCTTTTGATGGACACTTCAACTTGTGTTCATCATCACTCTGGTTGTTAATTTTACTAGCGTCCTTGCTAATTTGTGAGAGTGACAATATTTTCTCCTGTAAACTTTTGTTAAGCTCAACTAAATCAGTTATTTCCTTATGTAAGGTATCTTTCTCTTTTAAAGCCAAATTTAGTGATTCTTGTATTTTATGTGCACTAGAAGAATATGTTTTCGATAATCTTTGTGAAAGCTCTTTTTCCAATTCTGAATTTTTTAATGTTAGACCTTCAATTCTAGTTTGTAAAAAATTTATTTCATTCATCATAGTAGCTAGTCGTTTATTGCAATCCTCTTCAACTTTTAATGCTAATGTGTCCACTTTCTGTAATTCATCATGTAAAGCTTTGTTTTTATCAGCCAGACTAAGAGCACGTAACATAGCTTCATGCTGTTTCTCCAAACTATTTTCATGCTCTTTTTTCAACAGACCATATGCAGTTTCCATTTCTTGTAACTTCTTTACTAAATCCTGAACGTTACTATTAGAATTCATACTACAACAGTCTTTTCTTATAGCATTTACAGGACGACCCCCCTCTAATAAAATATTAAGTCTAATAATCTCATTATCTCTATGTTCAATTTGATTTTTAAGCAAACTAATTTCATCAGAGTATACTTCAATTTTCTCTTCTAATAATTTTATCCTTCTATTTGACTCTGTGACATCTTTATCAACTTCCCAAGATTTTTTCTCTTCACAGATACATACTTTAGAAGCATGTGTATCACCACCATCTTTCCTTCTGCTTTTGATTCTACTACTTAAAGTATCAGCACACAAACCTCTTAAGCTTAAATCCCTGACATCATGTTGTAATTTATTTATAATAGTTTCTTTCTTTGCAAGTTCTTCTGACAAGAGTTTGAGCCTTCTTTTACTCTCTTTAGCCAATCTCAAGTTTTCTTCTTTTAATTTTAAAACCTCTCTATGAAGCTGATTGTTTTCTTGTATAAGTTTTGAATTATCACATTTGTAAGGTTCAGCCTCTAACATTAAAGAATCTCGCTGCATTAAAGCTTCTTTGGATAAATTCATATAATGTTGTAGGCTACGAGTGGTTTGTAACAAATCTGCAAGAATACATTCTACTAATGGGACGGCGTCGATTGGTAATGTGTTGCTATAACCGAGATCTTCAAGTTTTCTCTTTAAATTAAAATAAACTTCGCTCATTTTAAAAAGAAATAAGCACCAAAAGGTAGGCTAAACAGAATCAAAAGTTAATATTAATTCCCGTTAGTCCTTTGACATGACAAATTGTTTTGGCATTTGATTTTTTCTTTTTTTTGTTTATTTATTAACAGCTTTGGAAATATTCATACAGCCACATCTTTAGTACATTGTTCTTTATAAAGGTAAAATATCCTTTTATATTCTACACAACATCAAGTTTTCATATTAAATCAAAAGTTGAAATTATGAACTTGTAAATACATTCGTACGTATCTTCATTTTCTAGTAGCGATGGCAAGAGGCGGGGTATGTCTTCGTCTTTATATATCTTCATTAGGCCATCTACTAGAAGCAACCTTTGGACATTAAAGGCAGGACAATGCAGAATCAAATGGTCTAATGTAGCTGCTGTTGACTCACAATACTCGCATATATCCGACGAAACAATCTTAATTCTCTTCAAGTGTGCTGGGAATTTGCCATGGCCAAATCGCAATCTATTAATTGTAGTGATGAACTTTCTTGACGGAAATTTCCATTTGAAATACCAAGGCTTGGGTGGAATTCTTTTTTGAATTTGGGCATACCAATTTCCTTTATAAAGTTTTGTGTTTTCCCACATTTCATGCCAATGGTGATACATTCGACACTTCAAAACAGCATTGTAATCTGTGAGCGGAACTGGAGGTGCAAGATAAGGATTGTTATTTAATATTGGATGTTCTATTTTCATTAGTTTGTCCACAGTTTCATTGCCTGTTATTCCTGAGTGAGATGGTACCCATAAGAACTCAATTTCTTTGTCTAGGTTTTCCATTAGTAGCTCTCTGATTTTTGTGATGTATGTGTTATTTTTATACGAAATAGATACATTCTCCAGACATGTAAGGACACTAAGGGAGTCGGTTATAATCAAAAAATATTTGTTATCTCTGATTCCTCTGATATATTGCAAAGCGGTATAAATGGCATAAGCTTCAGCTGTAAATATAGATGAGTTCATGTCCAAACTAAAACATCTTCCAAATTTAGCTTTTGAATCATAATATGCAGCCTTCGTATTTTTTTCTGTCTTCGAACCATCTGTGTAAATTTTGCGATGTGCAGGTTTTTCAGTGTCTATGAATCTTAGAAACTCCGTATTGTTTACAATTCTAACATGACAAACTTTAGGAGTAGTCAAATGAATTTCTGTTGTACTGAAATCCCAATTAACCCTATGGTCTATGTGTTTACATATCAACTTCAATTCCTTCAAATATTCACATTGTAAAGATTGATTACATTCATACATATAACAATACATTTTATTTGCTAAAATTCTTATAAACATTTTTTCAAAGAGATACCGAAATCTGACATATATAGGAGGTATGCCTGCTTCAATTTCTAGAGAGTTTATAGGCGTGGAACAGATAGCTCCTGTAATAATTCTTAGGCCCCTATTTTGTATGATTTCTAATTTACGAAACAAAGTTGAATTAATATAATTTCCATAAGCTACTAATGCATAATCATAATGGCTTCTAACTATTGTTTTATATAAAATATTCAAAATTTTAGGATCCATTCCCCAAGTTACACTAGCTAAATGTCGCATTATATTTACAGACCTCTGCATTTTACAGACAATTTTATTTACATGACGATCAAAATTAAGTTTCGTGTCAAACATAAACCTAAGAACACTTTTTCTTGGACAGTCGCAATATACAATATTTACAGAATTTAAATAATCATTTTTCTTAATAAATACCAGAACAGAACTTTTATTTGGATTAATATCTAATTTTAATTTGTCTTTGTAATACGAATGAAAGTGACGTAATGCTTCATTTAAAGTTGATTCTACTTGTAATAAGTTCTTATTAGATGTATACAACACAATATCGTCAGCATACTGAAGAACAGATAGTTGTGGGATTGATACAAATCTATGAATTTGTGATGTATATAATAAATATATTAAAGGTGATAATGTCGCTCCTTGCGGTAAGCCCTTGAAAGCCGTTTTAGGACCATGTAAACTGTTATTAAACTTAATGAAAACTGTTCGGGAGTAAAAGAAGTTAAAAATCCATTTACATATTTTGCCAGGTATATTGAAGCTGTGTAGTATTTCAACTAAGGTTGATAAATCAACGTTATCAAAAGCTCCACTTACATCGAGAAAAGTACTAACTAAATAACTGTCATGATCAAACGAATCCTGTATCCACCGCAAAATTTTAATATGCTGTCTATTGTACTACGGTCTTTACAAAATCCGAATTGATCATGGGGTAAAATTAATCTAGACTGTATACAATTCTATTCTTGTTTTTAACATATTTTCAAAGATTTTACTTACACATGATGATAAAAATATGGGACGATATGAATAAGCACATTTAGGATCTTTATCTGGTTTTAAAATAGGGACAACTGTAATAACTTTCCATGTTTCAGGTATTAACCCGTTGTTCCATAAATCGTTCAAAACTTTTAATAAAATAGACTTAGCGTTTGGATCAAGACGTTTTATTAAAATATAAGGTATATTATCTAAACCTGGGGAGGTATCTTTTTTATTAGTTAAAGACAAGTTAAATTCTGCTTGTGAAAAGGGTAATGCAAGGTGAGAATTGAATTCAGTGTATTGAAAAAAATATTTTTATTGATCTGTATTAACTGTAGGTTGATAGGGAGCAATTTTCTGTAAAAAATCTTGTAAAAACGTTTCATCTCTGGCTTTCGGTGATGAATTTTTATGATTAAGAATTTAAACAAATCTCAAAATGCAACTAATTGGAGTATTTCTATCAAAACTAGAGCATAAGTTTTTCCAACTTATTGCCTTCTCCTGTTTAATTTTAAATTTTTTCGAAGCTTCTATTTTCTTATACAGTAAATAATTTTCTATAGATGGAAACCGTCTATACATCTATAAAGCAAATCTAGCCTCCTTCACTGCATTCGAACAGGATTCATTCCACCAAGGCATTGGTTTATGAAGCTTTGATTTATTATTGCTATCAATTTTATGTACAGGAATAAACTCATTTCTTAATCTATCTAATAGAATACAGAATTTATCATATGCTAGAAGGGGTTCTTGTTCGTATTGTATGTCAGTAAAGTAAGAACTGTCTAGTCCGCTTTTTTGTATAAAAACTTTTCTGTACGATAAGAATTGTCATATATATTATGATCAATGTTTAAATTGACTATTGTGGGAAAATGATAACTTCCTAGTGTATCTCCATTGTAAACAGACCAATCTGCTGATGGTGCTAGAATAGGTGATATAAATGCAATGTCAATAGCAGATGCAATTTGATTTGGACGAGCAAGTGTCGTAGTTTGACCATCCTTTATTATGTACATATTAAGTTCATCTAACATATCATAAATCTGTATGCCTCGAGGCTTATTGTTAGAGCATCCGAATGCTGTATGATGGGCGTTAAAATCACCCATCACTAACATCGGTGGTCTGATTGACTGAATAGTATCTTTTAAAATGTTTATAGGAATTCGACCATTACGAGGAGGACAATATACACCAAGAACTGCAAAACGATCATTTTGAGAAGTTTGAACATTTAAAGCTACAGTCTGAATTTTATCGGTGCTATGAGTAAATATTTCAGAACACTGAATACGATTTCTACATAAAATGGCAACACCGCCGTATCCATTGTCACTGTTTCTTCGAAAAATTGTATAACCTCTAATTTATTTTTCTCTTGTCCTTTATATGATCATTCCTCCTTTTATGACTCCTTATTATCACTCCGCATTCCTCTTCCTACCTCCATATTATTCCTTTTATGTACTAACGATACAAATATTTATCACACCTTAGCATGTTTTATAACTAAAAATAACATAAAAATATAAATATTTTATATATTACCATAATTTATTATCCTTTATCCTTTCCCACTATCCAAATACTAACTTCTATAAATATCCGAGTTCCTTTCCTAATTGTTTCCCTACCTTTTTATATCTGACAGGCTAATACCCAAGTCGGGTGGAGCCAAATAAAAAAAAAAAAAAAAAAAACCTCTAATTCTTATTAAATCTTGTTAAATCTGTCGGTTTCAACCAAGTTTCATTAAGTATACAAATATCTACTTTTAGTGAATTGAATAGTTCGCAAACAAAAACCAACTTAGGTTTAAGGCTTTGGATATTGTGCTGTATAACAACTAATGTTTAACTATCCATTATGTATGAGTAACTTTTTTGATAAACATCTCTTTTATAGTGGAAGAATTAATTGGTAAGCTATTTTCTTTATTACAAAACATTAAGCAATGTATCGATGATAGCTTAAGTACTTTTTCGTTATTAATAACTTCGGTTAAAATATTCTGCACTTTATTATTTTCATTAGGTACATTTAGAGGTTTAGAACTAGCCTTGGCATAAGATTTATCCCAAATTATTTCTGTTCATTATTTTACTTTTATTTTCATAAATTTTCTGTAGTTTAACTGGACAAGTCCTAGCCACGGCAATATGTTCACCGTTGCAATTGACACAGAGTGGTTTATTTGTATTGGTACATTCTTTGTATGAATGCGACTTTGAACATATTGAGCATACAATGTTACGTTTACAAAACTTTGTAGTTTGACCAAAACCCATACATTTATAGCATTGTAACACTGGCTTAATATATTCCTCTACAGGTACAAGACATAGACCATAGTTCACATGTTCGGGCAGTACATTACCTGCAAATGTTACTGAAACAGTCTGCAACGGGACAATACCATCAGGAGTTCATCTAGTAAATCTGCGTACAGCCAATATTTCCTGCGAACTAATAAGTTTATCAAAAAGATGTTTGCAGCTGAGAGCAACAGGGATGTATTTAATAATTCCTATGCATTCTGAAGTTGCAGCTGGAACGAAAGCTTTAATTTCATGCAATGACAAGAAAGAGGAATTAGATAACAGAGAATTGGCATTCTTTGCATTATCAAAGATAACAGCATACCGCAAAGCATTGACTCTTTTGATTTCTTTCACACCTTTATTGTACTGACTGAATATATTGTTTAAATAAATGGGATTTTTATTTCCGAATTTAATTGTTTCATTTGTGCTTTGTATATAAACTGGAAATACTGTGCCTGGAGAATTCTCAGGGTAGCTCCGTATGTGATTTTTCTTGAAGTATGGTGCATGTTTTACATCTT